GTTTTAGTTTACTTCGTATATTATTAGTTTCGTTAACGTTAGTTTTACTTTCGTCCTCCTACAGTTACCTACTACTATATTACTACTTATTTTACTTTCCTCCTCTCTCTCTCTCTCTCTCTCTCCTCTCTCTCTCTCTCTCTCTCACACACACACACACACACACACACACAATATGTTACTGATATTTCCATTGATATCTTCAGTGGGGTGATTGGCTTCATGCTCTGCTCCACTGAGGGCCCTGCAGTTGATTTCAGGCATCCAGTGAATATCCTTGATGATTGTGATGGCAAAGCAAAACAATCTTTGAAATTTTATAACTCTGATGTAAGTAAATTTAGTGGCAAATGCATCAGAATATTGTCATTCTTTTTGTTTCTTATTCCCAAACGAATTGAAGATAAAGATAAGTTTAATGTCTCAGAATAGGAACTCTTCATGTAATTGGGATTTTCTTTATGGGACATTTAGTAATCTTCTAAAACTCTCTTTTGAAGGAAAAGTGAAAAACAAGTCATTATCCAGTTGAGACATACATGTTTCAAACTGACAAGCAGACTCTGAATATGCATTGCATGATATTCTTTTTTGGTTAATCAAGAATACACTGATTAATTCCTTAGGCGGTTACTATACAGAGCCAGTTTCTTGAAGAAAAAGGACTCTCTCTCTGTCTCTCATGATCTTGTTTTTTACCTTACAGATTCATTCCGCGGCATTCTGCTTGCCAACTTTTGCAAAAAGAGCAATCTCAGCAAAAATCAAGCACATCAATTAGGCTGTGGAGCCAGGAGATATCAGAGTTGAGGGAAAGATTCTTTGTTATGATCCTTATGCTTTGTTACCCACCCCCCTAAGTAGGAAAAGTACAGTAGTTGATAAATACTGGTTTTACCATTTCCAGTTTGCAGTCACAAACTCAGATAAGATGTAACTCTAGCATCTCCTTGAGTGGGAGACTGCACGTCATAATAATTATAGTAATTGTTTTTATCTTTGCTAAAAGATGACTTTATCATGCATGCTAGAATATCTTTTGCACTTTTTTTTTTTTTCCTGTCATTTTTCTCGTGGTGGTTATGGGTTGCTGATGTGGTCTTTAAGAAAGAGAGTGCGTTGCTCGTGCATGACCTCTGAAAGATTGCTCCTAGAGACTATACACACTTTAAAAATATCTGTATTTTGGCCTGCACAGGTATTTTTCCTTGGTTGTGCTACGTATTATTTGCTTTGATTGATCAGCCAAACATGACTTTCAGTTCTCTCTTTCTCTCTCTTGTTACTTGATTAACCATTGATGGTCTCTCTCTCTCTCTCTCTGGTTTTCTCTGGTTCCTTTAGCCACTGATGTCCTCTTTATTCTCATATTTTTACCTTTCTGTTCATGGCATCCCCGTCCCATTCAAAAGCAGAATATAGGGGGAGATGAGGGGTTCAGAGGGAGAAGGTGATGAGTGGCTTTGAGTTTAATAAGAGAAGGGATGGAATGGGATGGGTTCTAGAGAGGGGAAGACGTGGGTTGGAGGTCTAGAGAGAGAGAGAAATGGGATGGTTGGAATGCAGAGAGAGAGAAGGAAATATTATAGTAATGCAGGGAGACCAAGGGAAAAAAATAAATAAATTAGAAAAATTAAAAATAAAAATAACGGTAAAAGAATAAATCATTTCTCAAGATCTACAAAGGAGGTCACTCCAAAAGATCTTTTCACTACCCGAAATCAATTATTGTTCTCTTCTCTATTTTTGTTCAATGGTTACATATTTATAGAACAAAAATCCTAAAATTTAACTGCGATCTGTAAGAAACTTTAATCAATATTAAATTTTAGCTCTTCATCTTCTAAGAATTAAACTTCAGCTTTAAATTTTCTACAACTAAAAAAAAACACAAATACCCCTAAAAAGAAAATCAGAAACTTAAAATAATTCCAAATTTAAAATCTAAAAAATAATAAAATTACAAATCTAGTACATTTTCTCTCAGTGTTGGGAGAAACCCGATCTCGAGCTTATAGAATTTGAAAAATTGCCTTTCTTATTTGATCTATACATCCTCTGTGATTGGATCGATATATGTTTATAAAACCATCAATGGTATGTGGATATCAACGCATAGATCTCAAAGCTTTGATAACAATTGATGTATGGAGGAGGGGTAAAAAAAATTAAGAAACCAGAAAAATCAAAAGACAAAAATGAATGATGAGAAAATGTATACTCTTTTAAGGTCTACAAAAGTGTCTACTTCAAAAGATCTTTTCACCAGACTCAAAATCGTTTCTTATTTTCTTTCCTATTTTTGTCCAAGAGTTATATATTTATAGAACAAAAAACCCTAAAACATAACTTGCTTCCCAAAGAAACCCAGATCAATACTAAATCTTAGTCCTTCATCTTTAAGAATTAAGCTTTCAATTCTATCCCCAATTTTCAATAACTACAAAAAGCCACAAATACCTCTAAAGAAAACTAGAAACCCAAAATAACTCCAAATCTAAAAATCAGAAAATAGTAAAATTAAAAAAAAAAGAATCTATCAAATCATGAAGGCTTGAAAATTATATTGTTGTGAAGTCGTATTGTCTAATGCATACAAAGAATGATGAGAGACTTGAAAATTATACTGCTTTGAAGGCATATTGTATGATGCATATAAAGAATGGGGACTGATGTCAGATAACAGTAAATGCTGAATCATCTGAATTGAACTTTTTTTACAAACTCAGCAAAAGATGAAAAAAGCACTACTGTCACACAATCACATGAAAATCTCTGTTACATGCGTATTCAAATACATACTACTGTGAACTGTAAAGCAAAGCCTACCTACTTGCATGTCAAAATTGGTGATGCATTCCCAAATACCTGTTACCCCACATATAAAACTACCAATATTGGGCCTTTGCAACCCCAAATAGATAACCGTTCTTCTTTCGTTCTCTGTTTTTCTAAGAGTATACTCTATGAGAAGAAAGAATCTCTCTCTCTTTCACACACATATAAGAAATCAGAAGTCTCATATTTGATTAAATCTCAATAGTGCAAAGACTCAGAGTCTCATATTTGATTAAATCTCAATAGTGCAAAGACTCGGAGTGGTGGTTGTTCTGTTGTTTCCTTTTTGTTCACTGAGATGCACGGGCCACGGAGTTGAAAGATCTGCCTCTTCTCCAACTGCTGGCTGAGGAGGATCTCTCCAGCAAATTTGATCAGCACACCAGAAGCCGTAAGAACAAAAACATATTACCACTGCAATAAGTTTTATAGATCCACTCACTCCTGATCTAACAGATTTCCAGTATATACAAGAACAATTATGTTGAGGAAAAACAAAAAAAAGAACAAAATTGAACAGAGTTTGATGGACTATATTATACTATGAGAGAGAGAGAGAGAGACCTACCCTCATAATCACTTGTAAATGTAAGGGCAGGGTGTTGGTGTATCCTTGGATGCCCTAATCAGACCACCTTCAAATCTGTTATAACTTTTGGAACTCAAAATTCATGGATCTGAGGCAGAAATGAATTTGCAGTGATTTAAGATGTATTTCGCGGAATGAGTTGACAGACTCGCCAAATCTTTTTCCAATGTACCTTAAGTTCTTTTCAACAAGTTCTTTAGAAGTCGAGAGGCAAATGAAGATGCCGATGGTCTTGGCAAAGGAGGTGTCCATACTCCTTCTATATTGGTTGTTTCATTTATGTAATCTTTTGTTTTTGATTGAACATCTTGTACTTTACATTTGAATCAATGACAAGTCATACCTTACCCTTCAAAAAAACGGAAAAAAAAAACAAGTTCATTAGTAAGTCAACCACAAAATGGCACCATGAATGATGGGAACTTGGTCCGTCCACCAACTTCTTGTCAATATCCACATGTATGTCTCAATGGCCATTTACCGTGCAATTTCAGAACATAAACTTTTAGATAAAGAACTTGTACCAACAAACAATTTATATATCCTCATCGTCTGTATCCCCAGATGAAAAAATATGCCAGTGGTGTTTGTTTAACCCCAGTTTTTGCACACACATTTGTCAAACTCTCGCCAATGTTCATAGAAAGAAATTTGAAAGCGAAATTTGTGAGGAGAGAGATATTTTATGCAGTGATACATGGCAAATAATCTCAAAATGATTTTCTCAATTAACCACCCTCAAAGTTTGGGATCAAATATATCTCTGTCATTTTGAGGGTAACAAGGACATATTAGATTTGAGGAATATGCAAGAAGAGTGAGCATATCGGATTTATCGATCCCAAATAGTTGGGAAAAGGTTCGGATGATGATAATGAGACTTATGAGGTTTGGCTACATTGCACCACAATGTTGATAGAGGACTTCATTTCTCAAAAAAAAATGTGGATACAGGACTTAGATTTTCAAATATTGGAGAGCTTGGAATACCAATTGCCGAATAGTGTGTAGGGGAACCCTGCCTTCTCTGATCCATTCGACATGGGCAATCCCATTTCCGTTTAGACGCACCCAGCAGAGCGGCAGAAGATTCCAGCCAAGCTTATAACTCATTAAAAAAGCGAAGTTTAGGCAGAAAATCGAGATGCGGTCGTTAGACCCTCAGACTTGGGGTCCATTGGATAAAGTGCAGAAAATAGCAACATCATGTCCAAGTTTGAATCCTACCGCTGAACTTCTGAGAGAGAGAGAGTGAAAAAGAGAGCTCTTTCCTTTTTCTCAAGGGTCAGAGAGAGAGACAAAAAGAGTCGAGAAGGAAACAAAAAAGATGGAGATTGTCTTCCTAACTTTTCTTGGGTTGTGAAAGCCAATGTCTATGTCATGTGAGTGAGAGAGAGTCTCCACTTTTTCATTCTTGACAAACAGAAGCATCTCACATCAAGCACAAAAATAAATGGTCACAGTAGAAAATACAACACAAAGGCACTTTATGGTAAGGAAAATTTTTATATAAGGTCGAGACTCTAAACAATCAAAGGGCATCTCAAAAAATTCACTAGAAGAAGTCGTTGCGATGCCAAAAACCCTTAAATCCCATCATATCGACCTTGAGTTATATGAATGTTAAAAAAAATAGACGAAGTCTTAAAAATAATGCATCTTGTAACGCATTGTCAATTTTCAAGATTTTTCAAGTGTTCATAGATCTACTTGATCTACATTATTTTTGAAGCTTTAAATTTTATAACTAGAGATGAAAATAAATTTTCAAGCCATCATAAACATTTTTTGTACTCAACTGCTATCTTTGAACATTATTTAAAGACGTACCTTACTTTGAATTATTTAGAGCCTCAGCCTTGTATAAACCGATGAGTATTATTACTCTTGTTCCAAAAGGAATGGAATAGGGAGATTAGATTTTCTCAGCTACAACAATTTTCTCTAATTATAGTGAGTGCCCTTTTAGGTACAGACGGCAAACAAAATGCGGCCGCATGAGGAAAGGTGCACCTCAAAGAACTCACAGGAGAAGTTTGTTCGAATACTAGAAAACTATCTGGGTGCTCAACTCGGCCTCAATATCGATGCATATGAAAAATAGTGATTTCAAGTATTAAAAATAGTGCATATTGTGAAATGTTATTTAGACCATCAATGTTTAAAATTTCTATGCATCTATAGATTTACTCAATAGATAAATTTTTAGATATTTGGATTGCATTATTAGGGTTAGAAACTTGGAAATAGAGCTTCATGCTAAGTTTCCAACACCAAAACTACATCTTCTGGTAGGGTTTCGAGGTAAACATCATTTTGATTATTTAAGATTGACGTTTAATATACCATTTTGTTTAATCCTAATGTTTGTAAACACATCCTCTAGACCCTTAAGAAATGCCCTCAGGAGAGAGGTGATTACATTTATAAAGAGAGAGAATGTTTGTGTGTGGAGAGAGAGAGATGAAAGGACATAAATGCCTAGTGAGCTCAGTACTCGATAATATATACATGTACTGTACACAAAAAGAGAATGGGTGATCAGATCCACTGTAAAATAATTTTAGTTTATATTGTCAAA